GTCTAACCTGCACATCTTTGGAAATCATCAGAGAAGTTACAGACCAATCATAACATTAGAGAGTGCTTACAACTGAGGACTTTAACTATGTGAATGTAGATTTGGACAGTGTTGGCATTGAGGACAAAGGTTGATGTGAGAAACTGTAGCTGAACAATGGGCTACTTTTTAAAAGGAGATAGTTTGGGTGCAGTCAACATATATTCTCTCAAAAGGGAGAAAGAGGACAAACAAATCTACAGTTGGATGAAAAAGGAGATAGTGACACTTTTTCTTCTTCTATGAAATTGCTATGACAAGAGGTAGGTAGAAACTACAATGAGAACCAACAACACAGAAAGTTCAGTCTGGATGTTAAAAGGGGAGGCAATGGCCTAGTGGTATTATCACTGGACTGTTAATCCAGAGACCCGGATAACATCCTGGGGACCCGGGTTCAAATCCCGCCACAGCAGATGGAATTAAGAGTCTAATGATGCCCATGAATCCATTCCAATTGTTGGGGAAAAACCCACCTGGTTCACTAATGCCCTTTAGGGAAGGAAACTACCATCCTTACCTGGTCTGACCTACACGTGACTCCAGATCCACAGCAATGTGGTTGACTCTGAACTGTCTCTTGGCAATTAGGAATGGACAATAAATGCTGCCTGGCCAGCGATGCCCTCATCCCGTTAATGAATAAAGGAAAAAAATGATAAAAAACATACTGCAGAAACAAAGAGGGATAATGAAAAGAGATTGGTGGCCAACATTTAGGGGAATCCCAAAGTTGTCCAAAGCCCATCAATACTAAAAGGAGAGCAGAAAGTATTTGGGAATAAAAAAAGGGGATTTGCGCAGGGAGGCAGTAGACGTGGCTGAAGTGTTGAATGAACACTTTGCATTTGTTTTTACCGAAGAGGTAGATGTAAGCCAGACCAGAGTGACAGAGGAGGAAGCTCTGTGACTAGAAGGCCTTAAAATTGATAAGAACTTTGTATTAGATTGGCTATCAGTACTTACATTGACAAGGCAACAGGACTGGATGAGATGTATCCAAGGATTTTGAAGGAAGTGAGCGTGGAAATTGCAGGGGCATTCGCCATTATCTTTCAGTTTTCCCGAGACTCAGCAATGCAGCTCGAGGTCTGGAGAATTGTAACGATTACGTCTTTGTTCAAAAATGGTTGCGAGAATAAGCCCAGCAATTACAAACCATTATGTATTTGTGTAAGAATAGTAGACTTTAAGAGTCTGAACACGTGACATAATGATGACTTCATTAACCATTTTGGGTGGACAAACAGTTCTCTCTTACTCTGCCACCTATAGCGTGAACACCTCTATAATACTCTGAGGAAAGGTCACTGGACCCGAAACGTTAACTGTTTTTTCCTTCACAGATGCCGCCAGACCTGCTGAGCTTTTCCAGCAACTTTGTTTTTGTTCCTGATTTCGCAGTTCTTCCGGTTTTTACCTCTATAATGCTACCCTGGAGAGACTTGTGATTACGGCCTTGGAGTGAAGAAATACATATGTGATTTTTAAAATCTTCCAATGAAAATTTAGGCCATGTCATTGATGCTAAGGATCTATAGAAGTTGCCTTCAAAAGTAAAAGCTACAACTGAGGCAGCAGCACTAAAAATGTTGACAAACTATGATTATTTTTAGGTTTACTAAATTACCAAAGCAGGTGTGTCCCAAATCTTACAACCATTCTCAAGCCATCGCACAATTAATCAGCATGAAACAGCCTTTACACAAGCCAAAGAAGATATATTTAAGTCAGAGGTCCTGACCTATTTTGACCCAAAGTTACCAGATCAACTAGCATGCGATGCATCACCATATGGAGTGGGAACAGTCATTATTCATATGTTACCCAATGGCGAAGAGAAGCCAATAGCGCTTGTATCAAGAGACAACAAGGTGCAGGGCTGGATGAACACAGCAGGCCAAGCAGCATCATAGGAGCAGAGAGGCTGACGTTTCGGGCCTAGACCCTTCATCAGCGCTTGTATCAAGGTCGTTAATCAAAGCAGAAATGCACTGTTCAGAATATACATAGAACATAGAACATAGAACATTACAGCGCAGTACAGGCCCTTCGGCCCTCAATGTTGCGCCGACCTGTGAAACCAATCTGAAGCCCATCTAACCTACACTATTCCATTATCATCCATATGTTTATCCAATGACCATTTAAATGCCCTTAAAGTTGGCGAGTCTACTACTGTTGCAGGCAGGGCATTCCATGCCCTTACTACTCTCTGAGTAAAGAACCTATCTCTGACATCTGTCCTATATCTATCATCCCTCAATTTAAAGCTATGTCCCCTCGTGCTAGCTACCACCATCCGAGGAAAAAGGCCTCCACTGTCCACCCTATCTAATCCTCTGATCATCTTGTATGTCTCTATTAAGTCACCTCTTAACCTTCTTCTCTCGAACGAAAACAGCCTCAAGTCCCTCAGCCTTTCCTCATAAGACCTTCCCTCCATACCAGGGAACATCCTGGTAAATGTCCTCTGCACCCTTTCCAATGCTTCCACATCCTTCCTACAATGCGGCGACCAGAACTGTACGCAATACTCCAAGTGCGGCCGCACCAGAGTTTGGTACAGCTGTAACATGACCTCATGGCTCCGAAACTCAATCCCTTTACCAATAAAACCTAACACACCGTACGCCTTCTTAACAACCCTATCAACCTGGGTGGCAACTTTCAGGGATCTATGCACATGGACACCGAGATCTCTCTGCTCATCCACACTACCAAGAATCTTACCATTAGCCCAGTAATCTGTATTCCTGTTACTCCTTCCAAAGTGAATCACCTCACACTTTTCCGCATTAAACTCCATTTGCCACCTCTACAGATAGAGAAAGAAGCTCTAGGAATCATTTTTGGCATTTGACGATTCCACCAATACCTGTATGGCCAGAAATTTACCTTCTAAGACCACAGACCATTAACCACAATATTTGGACCTCATACAGGGATACCTTCTCCAGCAATGAGCTGTATACAGAGGTGGACGTTATTGCTGTCAGCTCCCACTTTTACAACTAAGTACCAGCAATCCAACTGACATGGCATGGCAGGACAACATAAGTAATATACTACAAATTATCCACTATTACCAAAAGTGATGGACATGGTACTTCGTGACAAGATCACAGGAAGAACCCCAGGATCGGTGCTAGATCCATAGCTTTTTGTCATTTATATAAATGATTTGGATGTGAATATAAGAGGTATGGTTAGTAAGTTTGCAGATGACACTGAAATTGGTGATGTAGTGGACAGTGAAGAAGGTTATCTCAGATTATAACAGGAGCTTAATCGGAGGGGCCAATGGGCCGAGGAGTGTCAGAGTTTAATTTGGACAAATGTGAGGTGTTGCATTTTGGTAAGGCAAATCAGAGCAGGACTTAAATGGTAGGGCCCTGGGGAGTGTTGGCAAACAGAGACCTTGGGATGCAGGTGTATAGTTTCTTGAAAGTGGAGTTGCAGGTAGACAGGATGGTGAAGAAGGCATCTGGCATAATTGCCTTCATTGGTCAGTGCATTGAATATTGGAGTTGGGATGCAATGTTGCAGCTGTACAGGACATTGGTGAGGCCACTTTTAGAATATAGTGTTCAATTCTGGTCTCCCTACTACAGGAAAGATGTTGTTAAACTTGAAAGGGTTCAGAAAAGATTTTCAAGGATGTTGCTAGGATTGGAGGGTTTAAGCTTGAGGGTTAGGGAAAGGCTGAATAGGCTGGGGCTATTTTCCCTCGAGCATTGGAGGCTGAGGGGTGACTTTATATAGGTTTATAAAATCATGTGGGACATGGATAGGGTGAATAGCCAAGGTCCTTTTCCAAAGGTAGGGGAGTTCAAAACTAGGGGGCATAGGTTTAAGGTGAAACTGGAAATATTTGAAAAGGGACCTGAGGGTCAACATTTTCACACAGAGGGTGGTGCCGTGTATGGAATGAACTGCCAGAGGAAGTGGTGGAGGTGGATACATTTACAACATTTATAAGGCATCTAGGTGGGTACAAGAACAGGAAGAGTTTAGAGGGATATGGGCCACATGCTGGCAAATGGAACTAGATCAGTTTGGGATATCTGGTCAGTCTGGACAAGTTGGACCGAAGGGTCTGTTTCTGTGCTAAATGTCTCTATGACTTTATGATAACTAAAGCCATGTGTCACACGGAAGCTAGAACTATCTGTATAAGCAGAATCTCTTGAATGGGAATGAGGATCATCATTCGATGCAGTTATGGAAATATGTTAAATCATCTACATTGGATGATTATTTGGATAGAAATGGTGTGCATACAAATGAGAAATAAGGCCTAAGATTAACACTAGGTAACACAAACAGAGCAGGTATTAAGGGCAAATTACCTCCTTTTGTGGTGTAACACTTCTGTGATTCTGAGTTAAGATTCAACCACATTGATGTGTCTCTGGAGTGACGTGTAGGCTGAACCAGGTAAGGATGGCAGATTTCCTTCCTTTGAAGGCACTACTTAATCAGGTATGTTTTTATGACAGTTTCATTATACAACATTCAACTCTGGTACTTTAATCACTTAATTCCAATTTCTCCATCTGCCAAGGTAGACATCAAACCCATGTGTTCAGAAGAAGGCTCACTGGACCTGAAACTTTAACTCTGTTTTCTCTGCACAGATTCTGCCAGACCTGCTAAGTTTTTCCAGCAATTTCCATTTTTTTCTAATTTCCAGCATCCGCAGCTCCTTCGGCGTTACCCATGTCCCGAGTCTATATCTTTCCATTTTTCCTTGTTGTACACTGGACCAAAATGGGAAGGAGAGTGCTGCACTGCCCCTCTCCTTCTCTCCTCCTTTGTTCCTCCGGCTTTTCGCGTGTGAATGAGCCGCTTTCTCACCAAATTTCATTCATTAATTTCGTGTCTAAGGCCCGCCTTAACGTTTCCTTTATTCAATCAGGTGAATGGCCCTGATGATTGACGTTCAGGGTTGGCCAATGGTCGCGCGATAAAGTTTAGCCTGAGAGTCGGCTCCGCGGTTAGAAAGTTGGGGTCCCGTCCCCGTGCGTCCCTTTCCCGGGAGCGGTGTAAGAAGCTCCGGGCGGTCTATGGAGGCCGCCGCCGCTCGTTGTGTCGGTGCAGGCCTTGCGGTGATGGACTCTGGATCGGTTAATACGTGGCGGCCGCGCTGAGCTCCCGGCTGTGTGTTCCCGCAGCTCTTTGTGAACTTTTCCCGGGCCGCACCCCCCCCCGCCCCGGAGAGCGGAGTCCGGCCGCTTCGGTGTTTTTTGGACCCGGCCCTACTCACACTATGTGCCCGCTCCCTAAGTGCACTCTGGCTCTGGCCGTTCTCCTGCTATGCGGCTCCGCTCGGTCTGAGCTCCCAAACCGAAACTGCTCGGAACTGCTGCAAGTTTCCAGCCCGAGGGGTATCAGCCATGGTAATATCCGCCAGCAAGGCAAGGAGAGTAAGTGACAGCCCGGGGCGGGGGTTAGTGAGGCTGGGCTACGGCTCTGCTGTGGGAGGGAACTGCAGAAAACATTCCTGCTTTGTATATTTGACAATGAGAAACTTCAACTGAACCAGAACAGTGAAAAATGCTGCGGGTGGAGGACCATCGAGAAGGGGGCTCTAACTGTGGGCTTGTTGATTGGTCAGTGAGGGGGTGGGAAGGGTCACTGAACAATTGGAATAGGGGTCTCTCTGGGCACCCAGGAGCTGGTGGGGTTGGGTGCCTTTTTGAAGAGGGACTAGAAAAGGGTGGCTATCGAGGAGGGACTGCTTATTCTGCAAGGAGGTACTGGGTTGGTCTGCTCAGTAGGACTGTTGTCTGAGATGGCTGTATAGGTTGTGGGGTTTGTTGCGGGCATTGGAGGGGGGTCCTGAGATTGGAGAGAGCAGCCTCCAGTTCACTTCTTTCGTGAAGAAGTTATAGGGCCTTGAGGTCATTGTTTTGCTGCTTTGGTGAGTTTTGCTGTCTGGGTGAGGGAAGAAGCAAGGGCAGTTATTCTTTCCTCCGATTGATGGTTTGGCTACTGTGAATTCAGAGTCCAATCACTTATTCAACGTTGCTCTAACTGTTAAAAGTTTGGTATCCTGAATACTATGGCTGTGTGGTCATTCCTTTGTGAAGATGCTGAGCAAGTGTTTCTAATTGTAGGTTGAAGGAAACAGATACCTCTTGGTCTTTGCTATGACAGACTGTGTGGATTACTGGGCCACACACTGTCTGAATTTGATAAGGTTTGATGCTGGGAACATTTTGAAGGAGGGCATGGAGGGATTTTCTTACAGTGAGCTCAGTAGAACCCTGAATTCAGGTTGGGTTGGAATGATTAAGCGAAGTGTATATGGTCGTATCTTTTGTACTTCACGTGTGTTGTATTTTTATGTTTTGGCCTTTGTCCATAGCTGTTTCTTTGGGTATGTGTTTGTTGTTTGTCTTTGTGTTATTCCATGCCTGTTTTTAATTGAGAGAATGGTCATTCAATTTCGCAATAAGAGAAAGCCTTTATGCAAAGCTGTGTGTGCATTGGGAAGAGTTTTTAAGAGTGTTAACCTGTTCCTGTATTTTATTTGTGTAACTGTAAGGAAGACTGGATTGGACAAGCTACAATGATGTAGAATACTGCATGTGATTCTTGCCATTGAAATAGTACAAAGTGCATATGAATCTCTTTTAAGTTCCTGGATATTTCAGCTAACTAAAACCAAGCTTAACCTGTCATCTTTACAGATTAAGCAGATATGCTGAGTATTTGCAAAAAATTTATCGACAATCCAACCAGGTTTAATGGTATTAGTTTGGATAATAATGTTCACAGACCAATCTGTTTGGCAGTTTCAAAAGTTCACAGATGGGTTCAAACATGTTTAATCACTGCATTGCATCTTAACATTCATCATAAAGCATTTAAGCAAGAAATTGTTCATCTGTAGCTGGCTGAAGAAAATGCTGGTAAATGTAATTAGGCCCAAGCTGTTTTCTTCTTTCTGTTTCATCTCTCTTTCCCTTCCCAGGCCTGTTGCTTTTATTTCTTGTTTGAATGGCCAAATGGGTTGCATTCTCCACATGAACAAAGGACTTGGCTATTTTGCTCAAGTCCTTCAGGGACCACCAAGGTCTTCGACTTCTGCAGTGTAATTCCGCAGCACTTTCAACAATAACAAAAATGCATGACTGAATCACTGAAAAATTTCAGAACGTTGGGAGCATTGAACTGCGTCTCGGCTGCTGTCAACACAGGCTAGCTCTGCTGCTGTCTGTACTAAGGCAGCCCCAGACTTGGGTAGTGGCTGTGGAATGTTTTTGAATTCAGATGATTTCTGTTTGAAAGAATGATCTTGGTAACATTTTTCCCACTTTCACATTTTATGGACATATGAATTACAAGCAGGAGTAGACCATTTGGCCCCTCTACTCTACTCTGAATTCAACGCGATCATGGCAGATCTGATTACAGTCTGAGCTGTACATTCCTGACTACCCCTGATCGTCATTGATTCCCATTAACACTTTCTGAACTATCATTCTGCTCTATTTGATTTGGGTGGTAGGGCTTCCTCCCTTGAAACTAACATGGGAACGTTGGGTAAATCACAATGGAGGAGGCCGATCAGCCCATTGTGACAACTATGGCTGTCCAAATGATGAGCACCATGACATAATGCCATTCTCCTGCCTTCTTCCTATGCTCTTTTACATTGTCTCTCTTTAAATAATCACTTGATGCCCTCTTGGATGCCTCAATGCAGCGTGCTTCGGCCGCATCCAGGCAGTGTATTCCAGACCTGAACCACTTATTGTGTGTAAAAGTTTTTTTTCCTTATCTTGCATTTGCTTCTTTTGCAAATCACTTCAAATCAGTGCCCTCTTGTCATTCCTTTTATTAGTGGGAACAGTTTCTTCCTATCTACTTTATCCAGCAGATTCATAATTTTGAAAACCTGTGTTAGATCTTCCTTTAGCCTAATCCTGTCTAAGTAGAACAATCCCAACTTCTCTAATTTATCAGCAACTGAAATTTCTCATCCTAAAACCATTTTTGTAAATCTCTTCTGCGCTCGCTCAAATGTGTTCATGTTGTGTAAGAAATAGGAACAACTGTAGGCTGTTTGACCCTTTGAGCCTGCGCCACTGTTCAATAGAATCATGGCTGAGCTGACATTTCTTGCATCCACTTTGCTGTATTTCCCTATAATCCTCTATCCCCCCACTGATAAAAATATCTATCTATCTCCGCCTTAAATGTACACAGGGATTCTGCTCCCCCCATGCCAGTTCTCTATGGCAAGAAGTTCCAATGATTATCAACCCTCTGAGAGAAGAAATTCCTCCTCCTCTCTGTTGTAAATTGACATCCTTTATTCTAGTCCTCTGATCTAGACTGTCCCATGAACGAAAACATCCTTGCAGCATTTACCCGGTCAAACCACTTAAGAACCCTATGTTTCAGTGAGATCAGCTGTCATTCTTCTAAATGCCAATAAGTGCAATCGTATCTGTTTAACTTTTGCTCACAAGACCATTCTTCCATACCAGGGATCATCCTAGTGAACCTTGTCTGAACTGAAATGATATCTTTCCTTAAATAAAGGGATGAAAATGGCTCTCATTACTCCATATGTGCTCTCATCAGCGCCTTGTCCAGTTTCAGTAAGACTTTTTGTGCATGGGAAATCATGTCTCTCAAATTTGATTGAGTTTTTTGAGAATGTAACAAAACAGATTGATAAGGGCAGAGTGGTAGTCATTTGTCTACATGGACTTTACTAAAGCCTTTGACAAGGTTCTTCATGGTATGCTTATTACAAACGTTAGATCACATGGGATTTGGGGAGAACTTGCCAATAGGATACAAAATTGGTTTGTTGGTAGCAGACAGTGGCGGTGGAGAGTTGTTTTAAGGACTGGAGGCCTGCGATCAGCAGTATTCTGCAGGAGTCGGTGCTGGGTCCACTGTTGTTTGTCATTTTTATATAAATGATTTGGATGGTAACATAGGTATGGTTAGTAAGTTTTTGCCTTGGATAGTGTTGTAGAACAGATACCTAGGGGTTCAGGTACGTAGTTCTTTGAAAGTTGTGTCTCAGGTAGACAGAGTAGTTAAGGCATTTAGCGTGCTTGCCTTCATTGCTCAGACCAGTGAATATAGGAGTTGGGATTTCATGTTGTGGTTGTACAGGACATTGGTGAGTCCACTGTACTGTGTACAGTTCTGGTCACCCTGCTATATGAAAGATATTATTAAATTGGAGAGGGTTCAGAAAAGATTTACCAGGATCTTGCTGGAAATGGAGATCTTGAGTTAAAAGGACAGGCTGGGACTTTTTTTTTCCCCCAGGAGTGTAGTAGGTGGAGGGGTGACCTTTTAGCAAAGGTCTTTTCCCCAGGGTGGGAGACTTCAAAACTAGGGGACATATTTTTAAGGTGAGAGGAGAAAGATTTAAAAAGGACCTGAGGTGCAATGTTTTCACACCGAGCAGTTCGAGTGTGGAATGAACTGCCAGAGGAAGTGTTTTGATGCAGGTACAGTAACAACATTTTAAAGACTTGGAGTTGTGTGCATGTGCTGGTCCCTCTGCTTCTGCACTCCTTAAATTAAATTGTTTGTTCATGTTCTTCCTCCCAAAATGCCTCATGCTCTTCCGTTTTGACCTTCATCTGCTACCTACCTACTAATTCCACCAACTTTTCTGTGTTCTTTTGAAGTTCAACACTGTCCCCCTCTCTTACAATAATTCCAAGTTTTGTATCATCAGTAAACTTTGAAATTATCCCCTGCACACCCAGGTACCTAGATCATTAACACATAATCTGTCTAGCAAGGGTCACATTAACAATCCCTGGGGAACTCCACTGCAAACCTTCTACCAGTGTGAAAAATATCCATTGACCATTTATCTTTATCTGTCACTGAGCCAATTTTGTATCCATGTTGCTAATGTTCCTTTTATTCCATGATCCATAACTTTTCTCTCAAATCTGTGTGGCACTGTGTTAAATGCTGCTTGGAAATCGATGCCTATCACATTAATAGCATTCCTCATCAACTGCTTCTGTTGCCTCTTCAAAAAACTCCAAGTTAGCCATTAATACCCGAAAGAGTTATTGACCTTAAAGTTAATGGGACTTGAAATGTTAACTCTGTTTTCTCTTCACTGATGCTGCCAAACCTGTTCAGCTTCTCCAGCAATTTTTGTTCGTTCAACACCACTGCTCCTTTAGAAATTTAGTCTAACTTTTCCTAATCAACCCACCTTTTACCATGTGACTACTAACTCTATTCTAAATAACTGGTTCCAGAAGCATCTTCACCAGTATTTATCAAACTGACTGGTCTATAAATTGCTGCACTTATACTCTTTTACAAAAAATGTTCAAAGATGATATTTGCAATTCTCCAGTCTTTTGGTGTTGCCTCTGAGTCTAGGGAAGACTGAAAGATGGAACAAAAACAGAAGTTCCTGGAAAAGCTCAGCAGGTTTGGCAGCATCTGTGAAGAAAAATCACAGTTAACGTTTCAGAAGGGTCACCGGACCGGAAACATTAACTCTGATTTTTTTCTTCACAGATGCTGCCAGACCTGCTGGCCTTTTCCAGGAACTTCTGTTTTTGTTCCTGATTTAAGGCATCCACAATTCTTTCGGGTTTTTATAAAGACTGAAAGATTATGGTCAGTGTCTCTGCAATTTCCATTCTCGCTTCCTTCAATATCTTTGAACGCATTTCATCTGCTCCAAGTGACTTGACAACATTAAGTCCCAATAGTCTATCCAACACTACTTCCTTATCTATTTTGAACCCTTCTTGCAACTGGTAGGCTTTAGTAGCATCTACTTCCTTTAAAGACATGCAGAGTATACATTTAGCACCTCAACCATATCCACTGCCTCCATGTGTAAAGTCCCCTAATTGGCCTTACTCCTCCTCTTGCCACTCTTACTATTTACATGCATGAAGAAAACTTTAGAATTCCCTTTGTTGGCTGCCAGTCTTTTCTCATTTTTTTGGTTCTCTGGAATGCTTTTTCACATCCTGTCTGAATCTTCTTGTATTTCTCTTGATTCTCAGTTGTATTTTTTGTTTGTTACTTTTCAGAAGCACACTTTCCTTCATCTTAATTTCTATCATCTTTGTCATCCAGGGAGCAATGGATTTATTTGTCTTATCTTTTCCTTTTGAGGGAATATACCTTGACAGCTGAACCATCTGTTCTTCAGAGGCTGACCATTCCTCAATTACAGTTTGTCCTGCCAACCTTTTTGTTATAGTCTGTCCTGCCAAGTTCCATTCTTGCCACATTGATCTGGCTCTACGATAGTTACTCTGCATTGACCAATCCCCACCATCATCCTAAGATGTACAATACAATGATCACCGTCTCCTAAATATTTCTCCAGTGACGCTTGGCCCACCTTATTTCCAAGAAACAGGCCCAACGAGGCATCCTTTCCTCTTGGATTGGGCACATGATTGTAGAAAATTAACCTGAATACAATGGAATGCTTGCCAGTTTGCTGCCCTTTGCATTACTAATATCCCAATATATATTTGGGTAATTAAGCTTACACGACATAACAGGCTACAAAGCGAAGTCGGACAGAATCGTGGGCAACAGTACATCCTTACCTATGAGCTCAGTGTGTTCTATTCTTGCTTTGAACAGAAGGGCAGTGAAACTATCATCTGACCTATCAACCTCGGATGCATTTGTACCCTCAGTCACTGCCACAGATATTCTAAAGGGTGAGCCCATGGAACATGACTGGCCTGGATGGAGTCCCCAGCTGTGCACACCAACTGGCGGGTGTATTCGCAGACATCTTCAACCTCTGCTAACTACGATCTGAAGTCCCCATCTGCTTCAAGAAGACCACCATCACCCCAGTGCCAAAGATAAACCATGCAGCATGCCTCAATAGCTACTGCTCAGTAATTATGAAGTGCTTTGAGAGGTTGATCATGGCTCACATCAACACCAGCCTACCAAATTGTCTTGATCGCCTACCAGTGCAACAGGTGCTATCTTCCCAACCTTACACTCATCCCTGGAACATCTTGACAACAAGGACACCTACATCAGGCTCTTACTTAGTGACTACAGCTCACCCTTCAACACTATAATTCCAAACATACTCCTCTCCAAACTCTGTGACCTAGGTCTGTGCTCCAAGTTATGTTGCTAGATTCTTGTCTTCCAGACGAAAAGACCCAGTCAGTAAGGACCGGTGACAACAACACCTCCACGATAATCCTCAACATGGTTGCCCCACAAGGCTGCGAACTCAGCCCCCAAACGTACTCTCATAAACACACACGACATGTGGCCAAATTCCATGCCAACTCCATCTGCATGTTTGCTGATGACCCCACCGTTGTTGGTCAGATCTCAAACAACGACAAGCCAGAAAACAGGAAAGAGATTGAATACTTAGCGGTCTGGTTTAAAGACAACAATCTGTCCATCAATGTCAGCAAAATGAAGGAGCTGGTCATTGACTTCAGGAAGTGGAGTGGAGGGCACACCCCTGTCTGTATCAGTGGTGCTGAGGTGGAGATGGTCGAGAGCATTGAGTTCTTGGGAGTGATGATCACCAACAATCTGTCCTGATACACCCACATTGACACACCAATAAAGAAAGCACAGCAACGCTACTCCTTCCTCAGGAAATTTGGCATGTCCACGGGGACTCTTACGAATTATAGATCATCGAATCCCTACAGTGTAGAAACAGGCTATTTGGCCCAACATGTCCACACTGACCTTCTGAAGAACATCCCCCCCTGACTCATTCCCCTACTCCTGCTTTTCCCCATGTCTGGCCAACCTAACCTAAACATTCCTGAACGCTATAGGCAATTTAGCATGGCCAATCCACCCTAACCTGCACATCTTTGGACTGTTGGAGGAAACTGGAGCATCTGGAGGAAACCCACACAGACATGGGGAGAACGTGCAAACTCCACATAGACAGCTGCCCAAGGGTGGAATCAAACCCAGGTCCCTGGCGCTGTGAGGCAGCATTGCTAACCACTGAGCCACAAACTGCTCTTCCCAAGACTGCAAGAAATTAGAGTTGTCAACACAGCCTAGTGACTCATGCAAGCCAACCTTCCTTCCATTGACTCCATCTATACTTCCCGTTGCCTCAGGAAAGCAACCAATGTAATCAAAGACCCCTCCCACCCCAGTTATACTCTCTTCCACTCTCTGTTGGGCAGAAGATATAAAAGTTTGTGTACACATACGAACAGAATAGCAGCTTCCCTACTTTTGAATGGACCTCTTTAATGATAATGCTGATCTCTCTGCATCTTCTTGCCATCTGTAACATTGTATCTTGCATTCTATTATATTGTCCTGATGCACATGTATAGTAATGATCTGCCTGTAAAACACGCAAAACAGCACTCTTTACTGCACCTTGGTACATGTGACAGTAATAAATCAAATCAAATAAAACCAATCTATAATGTTGGCATCTCCCTGTAATTTTCCTGTAGCCTTGTTCCTCTACATCCTTCCCACTAGTTGATCCATTAGAGTGAGCAATGTTTTTTTTTGTTTATGCATTCATGGAATGTGGGTGTTGCTGGCTGGGCCCAGCATCTATTGTCCATCCCTCAATACCTTTGAGGAGGTGATGGTGAGCAGCCGCAGGCTGTTTGTAGGTAGACCAGCAAGGCTGTTAGTGAGAGAATTCCAGCATTTTTACGCATCGACACTGAAGGAGCAGTGATATATTTCCAAGTCAGAATGGTTGTCAGAGTGGCTTGAAGGGAAATTTGTGTATGGTGGTTCTTTTTTTATAAAAAAAAAAAATTGCTGGAAAAGCTCAGCAGGTCTGGCCGTACGTGTGGAGAGAAATCAGAATTAGTGTTTCGGGTCTGCTGACCCTTCCTCAGAACGTGTATGTGGTGATGTTAACTTGTATTTGCTGCCCTTGACATTCAAAAAGGAATGGTCCTGGATTTGAGATGTGTTGTCTTGGGAGCCGAAGTGAATTTGTGCAGTGCAGCTTGTCAATGGTACATGCTACTAATACTGAGCTTCAGTGGTGGAGAGAGTGGATGTATGTGAATGTGGTGTGATTCGAGTGAGCCTATTTTGTCCTGGATGATGTCAAGTTGTTTGTTTTTTGAAGCTGCACCCATAAGGCAAGTGGGGAGTATTCTATCACACTCCTAACCTTGTTCAAAGAACAAAGAAAATTACAGCACAGGAACAGGCCCTTCGGCCCTCCAAGCCTGCGCTGATCCAGATCCTCTATCTAAACCTGTCGCCTATTTTCCAAGGATCTGTATCCTTCTGCTCCCTGCCCATTCATGGATCTGTCTAGATACATCTTAAATGACGCTATTGTGCCCGCCTCTACCACCTCTGCTGGCAACGCATTCCAAGCACCCACCACCCTCTGCGTAAAGAACTTTCCACACATATCTCACTTAAACTTTTCCCCTCTCACCTTGAAATCATGACCCCTAGTAATTGAATCCCCCACTCTGGGGGGAAAAAGCTTCTTGCTATCCACCCTGTCTATACCTCTCATGATTTTGTTGACCTCAATCAGGTCCCCCTCAACCTCCGTCTTTCTAATGTAAATAATCCTAATCGACTCAACCTCTCTTCATAGCTAGTGCCCTCCATACCAGGCAACATCCTGGTGAACCCCCTCTGCACCCTCTCCAAAGCATCCACATCCTTTTGGTAATGTGGCGACCAGAACTGTACGCAGTATTCCAAATGTGGTCGAACCAAAGTCCTATATAACTGTAACATGACCTGCCAACTCTTGTACTCAATACCCCGTCCGATGAATGAAAGCATGCCGTATGCCTTCTTGACCACTCTATCGACCGGCGTTGCCACCTTCAGGTTACAATGGACCTGAACGCCCAGATCTCTGTGCATCAATTTTCCCCAGGGCTTTTCCATTTGCCGTATAGTTTGCTCTTGAATTGGATCTTCCAAAATGCATCACCTTGCATTTGCCTGGATTGAACTCCATCTGCCATTTCTCCGCCCAACTCTCCAATCTATCTATATTCTGCTGCATTCTCCGACAGTCCCCTTCACTATCTGCTACTCCACCGATCTTCGTGTCGTCTGCAAACTTGCTAATCCGACCATCTATACCTTCCTCCAGATCATTTATGTATATCACAAACAACAGTGGTCCTAACACAGATCCCTGTGGAACACCACTGGTCACAGTTTTCCGTTTTGAGAAACTCCCTTCCACTACAACACTCTGTCTCCTGTTGCCCAGCCAGTTCTCTATCCATCTGGCTAGTACACCCTGGACCCCATGCGACTTCACTTTCTCCATCAGCCTACCATGAGGAACCTTATCAAATGCCTTACTGAAGTCCATGTATATGACATCTACAGCCCTTCCCTCATCTATCAACTTTGTCACGTCCTGAAAGAATTCTATCACGTTGGTAAGACATGACCTTCCCTGCACAAAACCATGCTGCCTATCACTAATAAGCCCATTTTCTTCCAAA